TGTGTTTTTAATGATACATAAAGAATATCCAGTGTCTAGAAATGGTTTCTTAGGAAATAAAAATGTACCTTGTCATTAAAAAAAATACTGAATTATCAATGTATTTTTTGTGTTCCATGTAGTCTGAAAAATCAACACTAAGTAGCTCCATGGGAGAGGGGTCTATTGACCTTCTGAAAGCTGGGCTGCCTTTGGATTGTGCTTTTCTAATTGCTTCCTATTGATTATGGCATACCTGTCATGGTTGAAATTGTTAGATAAACACTTTTCTCTCAGTACAAGCAGAGGATTTTGAATTTATTCTTTTGATTTAATGAGTCAAAAATGTGTGTTTATAGTACATAGACATAAAATGAGGATCTGTATACATTTGACAGTCTGTATGTGTGGTGTGGACAACTTATACTATTGGATTATGAAGTGGAAGAAAGAAGGACAATAGAGAAATGAATTTACAAATGTAGTCAGGATCTGGAAAACCCAAATCTCTATGAGCTTGTGCCTGTATTCTCAGCATCAGATTGCTTTGGTTCACATCTTGACTCTGCTTCTTGCTAGTGTTAAAAAACAAAATTTAACTGAGTAAATTTGAGGATCTCATTGGCTTTAATTAACGATTCATGAATTGAGCAGCATCTCATTTAGCAACTAGAAGGGCGATCCAAGGAATTGTACAAAATGGAAGGTTTTTATAGGCAAAAGGAGGGTGAGGTAAGGAAGTTATTAGCAAAAGAAAAGAAAGGATTGTTTCAGGCAGGACATCTTTGGGGGGGAAGGGAACATCAGGGGTTTTACCATGCAGATTACCTCACTAGTGCTAGTCAGAGATTTCAGATTAAATGTTTAAAGGTCACCTTCCTGGGAAGGGCTAAAACTGCAATTAAGTCTTGGTTTTGCTGTCATGAGGGCAAAATGACTCCATTCCCAGTCTGTTATTTCTTCTTTTTAGCACTAGCGATGTGATATTGGTCAGCTCGCTTAAGTGATTTGTTCTTCAGCTTCATCATCTGTAAAATGGGAATTATTAATGTCACTGCACAAACATGGGGTTCTCCTACCTGACGTGCATAAAAAAGCCAATTAATTACAGCATCAGCTTTTGGGAAAGGAAATCAGCTTTATTCTGTGAGATCAATCTGAAGGGAGGTGGGGCATGTGCTCTCAGATCTGTCTCCCTGATTTAAGATTTGGGGCAAAATTGAAGAGGTTAGGGAGAACAGGCTGGCACGTGGAAATGCTGGCGGGACAGATTTTGGTTGGTGGGCTTCAGGCATCTATGGTAAGGTTCTAAACATTTATGCTTAGGTTTTAAACATTTATGGTAAGGTGGGGGATGAATTTTAATGCCAGATCTTCCTGAATTACAGACCTCTCGCTCTGATAAGAGTCCACCTTTTACATTCCAGTCGTGTCCTGGTCCTTTGGTTCCGTGGAGAGGGGAATCTTTGGTTCCGTGATCATTTCAGGTCAAGATTTCTTCTTCTGTGCATGCTCTGGCTATGTGACTTTGCAAATTTTCTGAAAGACAATTCTTAATCACTCTGTTGATAAGAGATGTGGTCAGTTGAACTAGTCCTGGAGGGCCTGAAGTTACATTAGTAACATCTACAAACCACTGTTGTCAGAGTTAAATGAATTAATACATACAAAGGATTAGAACTGTGTCAGGCTCAATAAATACTAGCTGTTTTTATTATTATCTGATGTTTGCTTATTTTTTTCTCAAATTACTTCTTGTTAAGAACATTGACTTGTTATCAATCCAAGATTCAAACTGAACAACAAAAAATCAAGATACTTATCACAAATTTTTGTTGTCCTAAAAGAGACTTGTAGCCTAGTAGAATTTGAAGTAAAGTAGATAATTGCTGGAACATGATTCTGTCTTTTATTTTCTTTTTTGTGCAAAGAAATACCTATTGTAACGAAGGATTTGGTAACCTATTGAAATATTAATGTCACCTAAAAAAGGAAAAATTTTCAAGTTATTCTTACTCTACTAGCCCTGGAAGCATCCCAAATGCCTCTCAGACAGTTACATTTTCAGTTAATCTGTTAACTCCTCTGTGACTTCTGATTTTTTTTCACTACCATCTATTTAAAAATTTTAGAAGGACAAAGCAGATCCTGCTGGAAATTTTTTCCCCTGTAGTAAATGTTTTCCCCCAAATTGTTGTTCTTCCATTTCCTATGTGCTATATTCATCTCCTTGTTTGCTTATCTTTTATTTATCTCTTTTGTTTCCTTTTACTTGCTTTCGGTGATAAGAAATCAATCCATATTTGGCATGGATATACTCCTTAGGTGTCCAAAAACACCTGCACCCTATTTTGCTTGGATCTTAAACTGTTAGATTAATTAAAGTAAGTATAAGTACTGGTTCACTTCATCCAGCAATGAGAGAGGAGTGTGCCAGGAGCTAGAAGCACATATAGTCCAAGCTGGTGAACTTGGTTTTTGTGCTTTCTTCTCTGTATATGATAAGTACGCTGCGAAAAAGGCCAACTCTCTGTATCTAGGTTGATTTGTGTACTAGTTATTTATCTATTTTTTCTCAGCTCCAATTTTTCTCATCTGGTTTGTTCTGTGATGCTAGGGCTGGGATTCTGCAAACTACATTTTCCACAGTCCCTTGTCCACTGCTCTTCTATTGGGTTCAGGAAACAGAAGAATTGGAAGGATGTTAGAAGGAGAGAGGATGGGAGAAGATATTTCTTTTCTGTTTTACTGCCACTGCCAACGTTGTTTCTGCCTCCACAGTAGTCCTAGCCTCGAATTTCCCTCAGCCAGCCCTGCAAGGTCCCCTCAGGTGTACCAGCAGCAGCTCAGAGGCTCTGGCTCCTTAGAGCTCTTGGCATCAGCTCTGTGCGACCTTCCTTTGATAGCCTATAACTTCACCTCTTTCTCTCTTTTTCCTCCATGCCTTGGGGTTATGGTTGCTGCTTGCTGTTATTTTATCTGGGTTAACTCAGAATTAACTTAGGAAAAAAAATCCTCCATATTAAGAAGCTTTGACAATGAAAAGGTCAACCATAAAGCTTTCTAAACTTTCTTTTTGGAATAGCTGTACTTTTCTTGGGACTCTTTTGCAGCTGATTATGAAAGCTGTGATGCTAAAAATGCCTCAATATAGAAGAGTGGGTGTCCCTATGTATCTCACAGCCTTTTCCTTACCATAAAGGCAGTTATTTTAATTGGTAGAGTTAATATAAATAGTGAAATTAATATATAAACCCTTACTTATCCAAACAACAGTCAACTTTATTCATTTGTTCTGTAAGAACTACCTGGATTTATTTGCTCCTTTTTTTCATAAGAATAAGCATTAAGACAACTTTTGAAGTCTTTCTTTAAATCAATCCCAGTAGCCTTATACCTCTCAGGAAATTCTTTAAAGCTTAAGACATGACAATGACACAATTATCTAGGGTCCAAGATGTTATCTTCTTACAAAGAGGGTTATTTTTGTTTTTGTCGAGGAGCTGGAGTAGAGGGTAGATACCTAATTCATTCAGGGATTCTATTGATTTGCAACTGGGTTTCAATCTTTGTAAGGAGAGATCTATAGGTTTATTTCTAGTTTACCCTTACTCTTAATCATTAGGGTTCAAACTGAAAGTTTTTGGTGTTTACCAGTGGCTCATCTCTTTGGTGTCTCGGAACTACAAATTTAGTCTCCCCAGCCCTGTGTTAACAAAAGCTCTAGTAAGCTTCTCAGCTTCTTATCCACCCTTCTTACTCACTCTTTTCTACTTGGCTTCTTGGCCTCTCAGCTACCAGCTGCAAATAGGTGAAAAGATGTCTCAAATATTGTGCTCACCTCTATGTTTCTGAATTTTGGGCCCTCAGGTTTTTGATGCCTCGGTGGCTCTCTGATGTCTTGGAACCGATTTTGTTTATTTTGTTTCAAATTTTATCCAGCTTTCTTCTTTTTTTGAATTGAATAAATTTGACATGTAACATTGTGTAAGTTTAAGGTGTACTGCATGTTACTTTGATATGTTTATATATTGTAATATGATTGCCGATGTAGCAATATTTATCACACTACATAATTATAGTACAATATTATTGTCTATATTCATTATGCTGTGCACTAGATCTCTGTGGCTTATTTACTACTCATTACAAGTTTGTACCCTTTAAACACCATTTTTATTCTCCTGTCTATCCCTTGGTAGTCACCATTTTACTCTCTGTTTTTTTCAGGTTTATCTTTTTTAGATTCCACATATAAGTGATATCATACAGTACTTGTCTTTCTTTGTCTGACTTATCCTGCTTAGCATAATGTGTTCAAGGTCCATCCATATTGTTGCAGATGGGAGGATATCTTAAACTTTCTCATGGCTAAATAATATTCCACTGTGTATATATATCAACATCTTTTTTATCCATTTATCTGTTGATGGGCATTTGGGTTGTTTCCATATCTTGGCTATTGTGAATAATGCTGCAATAACATGGGAGTGCATATATCTCATCAAAATCTTGTTTTCATTTCCTTTGATTATATAGTACCCAGAAGTAGAATTGCTGGATTGTGTGGTAAATCTATTTTCAATTTTTTGAGGAACCTCCGTATTGTTTTCCATAGTGGTTGGACCAATTTACATTCCCACGAACAACGTATGAATTCCCTTTTCACTACATCCTCTCCAGCACCTGTCTCTTGTCTTCTTGATGATAGCCATTCTAACAGGTATGAAGTGACATCTCATTGTGGTTTTGTTTTGCATTTCCCTGAGGATTAGTGATGTTGAGCATCTTTTCCTGTGTCTATGGGCCATTTTGATGTCCTCTTTGGAGAAATGGTTATTTAGTTCTTCTGCCCATTTTTTACATCAGATTGTTTGGTTTTTTTTGTTATTGAGTTGACTGAGTTCTTTATATATTTTGGATATTAACCCCTTTGCAAAAATTTTCTACCATTCTGTAGGTTTTTTCATTTTGTTAATTGTTTCTTTTTCTGTGCAGAAGCTTGTGAGTTTGATGTCCCATTTGTTGATTTTTTTTCTTTTGTTGTTTGTGCTTTTGGTATCATGCTCTCCCAAATTGTTTCCAAGACCAATATCGATGAGCTTCTTCCCTACATTTTCCTCTAGGATTTTTATGGTATCAAGGCTTATGTTTAAGTCTTCATTCCATTTTGAGTTAATTTTTGTAACTAGTGTGAGATAGGGATCCACTTTCATTGTTCTGCACGTTTCTCCAGTTTTCCCAATACCGTTTGTTGTAGAGACTATCCTTTCCCCACTGGATATTTTTGGCTCCCTTGTCGAATATTAGTTGACCGTATATGACAGGGTTTAATTCTGGACTGTCTATTGTGTTCTATTGGTTGATGTGTCTATTTTTGTGCCAGTAGCTTACTATTTTTTATTTACTATGGCTTTGTAGTATAGCTCAAAATCTGGAAACATGATACCTCTGGCTTTATTCTTTTTTCTCAGGATTGCTTTGGCTATTTGAGGTCTTTTGTGGTTTCACACAAATTTTAGAATTGTTTCTTCTATTTCTGTGAAGAATGCCTGTGGTATTTCACTGGGGATTTCATTGAATCTGTAGATGGCTTTGGGTAGTATGGCCATTTTAACATAATTAATTCTTCCAATTCATGAACATGGGATGTCTTCCAATTTGTTTGTGTCTTCTTCTATATCTTTCAGCAAAGTTTTGTAGTTTTCATTATACAGATGTTTCATTTTCTTGGTTAAATTTATTCCTAAGTATTTTATTGTTTTTGATGCTATTGTGAATGAGATGACTTTTTTTTCTTTTCAGATGCTTCACCATTAGTGTAAAGGAATGCAATTGATTTCTGCATGTTGATTTTGTATCCTGCCACTTTACTGAGATTGTTGATTAATTCCAACAGTTTTTTGACTGATTCTTTGGGATTTTCTGTATGTAGGATCATATCATCAACAAATAATGACAATTTGACTTCTTCCTTTCTGATTTGGATGCCTTTTATTTCTTTGTCTTGCCTAATTATTCTAGCCAGGACTTCCAGTACTGTGTTGAAAAGGAGTGGTTAGAGTGGTCATCTTTGCCTTCTTTCTGATCTTAGGGGAAACTTTTCAATTTCTTTTCATTGAGTATAATGTTAGCTGTGAGTTTGTCATATATGGCCTGTTATTATATTTAAGTATGCTCCTTCTATACCCATCTAAGGTTTTCATCATGAAAAGATATTATATTTTGTTAAATGCTTTTTCTGCATCTATTGAGATGATCATATGATTTTTATCTTTCATTTTATTGATGTGATATATTACGTTTACTGATTTACATATGTTTAACCATCCTTGCATTCCAGGGATAAATGCCATGTGGTCATGGTGTATAATCCTTTTAATGTATTCTTGAATTTGGTTTGCTAATATTCTGTTGAGAATTTTCACATCTATATTCATCAGGGATATTGGTCTCTAGTTTTCTTTTCTTGTGGTAGCCTTGTCTGGTTTTGGTATCAAAGTAATGCTGGCCTCATAAAATGAGTTTGGAAGTGTTGTTTCCTCCATATTTTGGAAGAGTTTGAAGAGGATAGGTGTTAAATCTTCTCTAAATGTTTGGTAGAATTCTCCAGTGAAGCCATCTGGTCCTGGAGTTTTCTGTGTTGGGAATTTTTGTATTATGATTCAATCTCTTTACTCATTATTGATCTGTTCAGATTTTCTGTTTCTTCCTGATTCAGTCTTGGTAGGTTGTGTGTTGCTAGAAATGTATCTATTTCTTCTAGGTTATGTAATTTGTTGGCATATAATTGTTCATAGTAGTCTCTTATGATTCTATGTATTTCTGTAGTATTTTGTAATGTCTCCTCTTTCATTTCTAGTTTTATTTATTTGAGTCTTCTCTCTTTTTTTTTCTTAGTTAGTCTAGTTAAAGGTTTGTCAGTTTTATCTTTTCAAAGAACCAGCTCTTAGTTTTATTGATCCTTTCTATTGTTTTTATGGTCTCTATTTCATTTATTTCCACTCTGATCCTTGTTATTTCCTTCCTTCTGCTAACTTTGAGCTTAACTTATTCTTCTTTTTCTAGTTCCTTGAGGTGTAAAGTTAAGTTGTTTATTTGAGATCTTTCTAATTTCTTAATATATGCATTTATTGCTATAAACTTTTCCCTCAGAACTGTTTTTGCTGCATCCCACAATATTTGACTTGTAGTGTTTTCATTTTAATTTGTTTCAATCTAATTTTTCATTTCTCTTTTGATTTCTTCCTTAACCCAATGGTTGTTTAAAGGTGTGTTTAGTTTCCGCATATTTGTAGATATTCTCATTTTCTTCTTGTTGATTGCTAGTTTTGTACCATTATGGTCACAGAAGATAGTTGGTATGATTTCAGTCTTCTTAAATTTATTAAGATTTGTTTTGTGGTCTATCGTATGATCTATCCAGGAGAATGTTCCATGTGCACTTGAGAAGAATGTGTATTCTGCTGTTGTTGGATGGAATGTTTGTATATGTCTATTAAGTCTATTTGTTCTAAAGTGTGATTCAATTCCAATGTTTCCTTGTTGATTTTCTATCTGGACGATCTATCCATTGCTAATAGTGGGGTATTGAAGTCCCCTACCATTACTGTATTGTTTTCTATTTCTCCTTTAAGATCTGTTGTAAATTGCTTAATATATTTCAGTGCTTGGGTATTGGGAATATGTATATTTATGATTGTTATATCTTCTTGATGTATTTACCCCTTTATCATTATATAATGACCTTCTTTGTCTCTTGTTACCCTTTTTTGGATTGAAGACTATTTTGTTTGATGTAAGTATGGCTACATGCACCTTCTTTTCATTTGTTTGCTGGGAATATCATCTTCCATCCTTTCACTTTGAGCCTATCTGTGTCTTTAGAGCTGAAATGAGTGTCCTGTAGGCAACATATAGTTAGGTCTTGTTTTTTTAATCCATCTAGCCACTCTATGCGTATTGAAAAGTTCATTCCATTTACATTTCGGGTGATTATTGATACGTAAGGATTTACTACTGCCATTTTATCTTTTGCCTTCTGGTTATTTTGTCTTCCCATTGTTTCTTTTTTCCCTCTGTTTCTATATACCTTTGTAAATTGGTGGCTTTCCATGGTGATTTGCTCAGTCTTCCCTTTTCTTATGTTTAATGTCTCTAGATTTTTGCTTTGTGGTTACCATGAGGTTTGTATAAAACATCTCGTAGATAAAAAGTCCTTTTTCTACTGATAGTGATTTATCTTTATTCGACCATAAAGATTCCATTCTTTTACTCTTCCCTTTTTATATGATTGATGTCACAAATATTCTTTTCATGCTGTGATTTTGTTACCAAGTTGTAGTAGCTATAGTTATTTTAATGCTCTTTTTCTTTAATGTTTATGCTATAGCTAAGAGTTTAATATACCTCTCTAAAAAGGAGTTACAGTATTTTAATTCTGACAGATTATTTAACACGTTAATCAGAGCTTTGTGTGCTTTCATGTTTTTGTTTGAGCTTGAAGAGCTCTTTTCAGGATTTCTTGTAAGGCAGGTCTAGTGGTGGTGAACTGTTTCAGCTTTTGTTTGTCTGGGAAAGCTTTTGTTTCTTCTTCATATCCGAAGGATAACTTTGCCAGATAGAGTGTTCTTGCCTGGCAGTTTTTATCTTTCCATATTTTGAATATATCATTCCACTCTGTCCTAGCCTGCAGAATTTCTGCTGAGAAATCTGCTGGTAGCCTAATGGGTGTACCTTTGTAGGTGACTCTCTATTTTTCCTTAGCTGCTTTAAAACTCTTTCTTTATCATTGATTTTTGGCAGCTTTAATATAATGTGTCTTGGAGAAGGTTTTTTTGCACTGAGATAGTAAAGTGTTCTATTAGCTTTGTGGACTTGTATATCCAGGTTTGGGAAGTTCTCAGCTATTATTTCTTTAAACATGCTCTCTGCTCCTTTCTCCCTCTCTTCTTCTTCTGGGATACCCAAATATTCTTATGTTGGCTTTTCTAACAGATTCAGATAGTTCTCATAGAGTGTCTTTACTTTTTAAAAATCTTAGTTTTCTTTTCTCTTCTACCTGAATCATTTCTATATTTCTATCCTTAAGCTTGCTAATTCACTCTTCCATATGATCTGCTCTATTTCCAATGCATTTTAATGCATTCTTAATCTCATTTATTAAGTTCTTCAACCCCAGAATTTCTATTAGGTTCTTTTTTAGAATTTCAGTTTCTTTGGTAAAGTATTCCTTCTGTTCATTAATTTATTCCTCAGACAGTGTATTGCCTTTCTGAGCTTTCTTGTAGCTTGTTGAATTTCTTCATAACAGAATTTTAAATTCTGTATCAGTTAGATCACAATATTCTGTGTCTTTGCACCTGTTTGCTGGAAAATTGTCATTTTCTTTATGTGATACCATATTACCATGATTTTTCTTGGTGTTTGTTGAGAAGTGCCTCTGCCACTGCATTTGAAGTAGTGAGCAACTGTTATTTAGGCAAGCCTTTGTTCACTTTGATTCTAACAGTTCAACAGGTTGATTGTTAGGAGCCTTCCTTTTGTTTTCCAGAAGGTGGCACAGTAGAGCAAGTTTTTGGTTTCTCTTACTAGAGCTGACTGGCTGCTAAGGTTGGGAGCACCCGGGTTAAAAAAAGAAAAAAAAGGGTGGCAGCAGGAGCAGGGGGAAGTATGTGCTAGGTACTTGGGACTTTGGATGTGCCCATGGCACAGTAGGGAGATCCTCAAGTTGGAGGGTCGCAGAGGTCTGTGTGCAGTCCTCTCGCATCCTGGGCCAGATAGTTGGAGAGCTTTCCTTCAGTTCTCTTTGTCTGCTTACTTACCTTTTCTTTCCTTCCCCCTAGTCTCTGCAGTCTCTCTTCAGAGAGGGCAACCGGTCCCTTCAGCTGCAGTACATGTGACTAGCCAGACCCCCCACTCACCACCTTCACCCTCCACTTCCTCTGCCAGACTGGCTACTGGCTTCTCTGCTGTCACCACTTCTGCCACTGCCACTTCCCTCACTCTGATGCCTCCTCCACAGTCCAATCCGTCCACTTTTGGGAGCAAAGATAGATGGATCTCTCAGGTGTCCTAGTATGCTGTGCAGAGGCACTTTCTTTCTCAGTTATGGATGTCATATTAGTTGTAAATCAAAGGGAAGAGAAAAAGGAAATGACTTACACCACCATGATGCTGATGTCACCTTCTCCATCCAGCTTTTTTAGTTTTCTTTTTCAGCAGGACAATTGGTTTATTATATATTAATTCACCATTACAAGAAGTGGGAATCTCATTTGTTGATTTTTAAGGTGATCATAAATCACAAGGCACCTGTCTGGTCAAACTGCTTAATGCTCCCTAAAAAGAGCAAAATGAAGAGGTAAAATCATGAGAGTCAGAAAAGATAGATTTTAATAAAACCTCCACTTAATTTTATTAACTTACGCCTTGTCTTTAAAATGAGGGAAATGAGGATCTCTAAGAATCGAAAGCAGGGGAAGTTATGGGAAAACATTTTGTTCAGTGTTACATGTGATATAAACATCAGTTGTTTAAATCATGTCCTTCTGAAAACTTAGTTCTTTGTGATATGGACTCTATTTGTGGGAAGGATTTGGGAATTGAGTGAAATGTATAAAGGGGTTATATAATCATAAAATCAAAAACTTGAATGTATACTCTGCATCTTTGCTCCCAAAATACAGTCATGCACTGCATAACAATGTCTCAGTCAATAACCGTTTGCATGTATGACGGTGATCCCTTAGGATTATAATGGAGCTGAAAAATTCCTATCATCTATTAATGTCACAGCCATCGTATTGTTCTAACACAACAAATTACTCACGTATTTGTGGTGATACTGTTGTAAACAAACCTAGTGCATTGCCAGTCGTATAAAAGTATAGCACATACGAGTATGTATGGTACATAATACTTGATAATGATAATAAACAACTATGTTACTGGTTTATATATTTACTATACTATATATTGTTATTTTAGAGTGTACTCTTTCTACTTATAAAAAAAAAAGTCGAGGCTGGCAACATGGCCTAGTGGTTAAGTTTGGTGTGCTCCGCTTCCGCGGCCCAGGTTCCGTTCCCAGGCATGGACCTACACCACTCATCAGCAGCCATGCTGTGGTGATGATCCACATACAAAATAGAGGAATATTGGCACAGCTTTTAGCTCAGGGTGAATCTTCCTCAGCAAAAAGAAAAAAAGTTTACTGTAAAGCAATATGCCATGTTAGCGCTGGCAGCATCCTCATATATTTTGTGTTTACCAAGGCTATTCATTGCATCATTTTCTCTTGTACTTGATTTAATCTTGTGTTGTTTTGTTCACAATGGCCCCTAAGCATACAAAATCCACTGCTAATGTTGTCACTAAGAATCTAGGTCGAGTGATTGACTTAGAAATAAAATTAAAAGTGATTAAGGACTACGAAGGTGGAAAATCAGTGATGGTTGTTGCTCATCAGTCAGGCATGTCCCAATCCACCATAGCTATGGTCTTGAAGAACAAGAACAAGTTGACAGAAGCAGTTAAAGGATCTGCTTCATTGAAGGCAATGAGACTAACCAAAATTTTCAAAAGGTCTTTATCAGACATGGAGAAACTTCTAATGACCTGGATTGAAGACCAGACATAGAAGCGTATCCCTCTCAGCACCATGAAGATCATGGCCAATGCAAAAAGTTTATTTGCAATGTTGAAAGAAGAGGCTGGGCTCGACTACAATGTTGAATTTACTTCCAGCTCTGGATGGTTTAAATGATTCGAGAATAATTATTCATTACATAATGTTAAAGTGAGTGGTGAGTCTGTGAGTGCTGATGTGAAGGCAGCTGAAGAAATTTTTGAAACTTCAGATAACCTGATTGTGGAGGAAAATTATTTGCCAGAGCAAATATTCAATATGGACCTCCCTATTCCGGAAACAGATGCCTAAAAGGATTTTCATTCACAAGGAGGCCAAGTGAATGCCAGGTTTCAAGGCTTTTAAGGACAGGATACCAGTCTTGCTTGGGGGCAATGTTGCAGGCTACAAATTGTGGTCTGGCACAGTGAGAATCCTGGGGCCTTCAAGCATATCAATAAGCACTCACTGCCAGTGTACTACAGGAGCAATAAGAAGTCATGGATGACCCAGCTCCCTTTCCAAGATGCCCTCCTGAATTGCTACACCAATGAAATGGAGCAGTACTGTTTGGACAATAACATACCTTTCAAGAGTTTACTTATTCTTAGTAATGCTCCTGGACATCCTCCTTTTATTGGTGATCTTAATCCCAATGTCAGAGTGGCGTTTCTCCCTCCAAACACCACCTCTTTGATCCAACCAATAAATCAAGGAGTTATAGCAGCTTTTAAGGCCTACTACCTGAGGAGGACCTTTGCCAGGCTATTTCTGCAACTGAAGGAGACACTGATGCAATTCTGGAAAGATTACAACATTGTGACTGCATCACAAACGTTGTTTGGGTTTGGGGTGATGTCACCAAAGAGTGTATGAATGCCATCTGGAAGAAGACACTCAAGAGGTTCATCCATGACTTCAAAGGATTTACCAAGGATGAAGAGGTTGCAAAAATCAACAAGGCTGTTGAAATGGCAAGCAACTTTAACTTGAGTGTGGATGAGGATGACACTGAGGAGCTCCTAGAGATGGTTCCTGAGGAATTGACTAACGAGGAGTTGTTGGAACTGGACAAAAATGGACAGCTGAAGAAGAGGTAAGTGAAAAGGAAACTGTAGGAGAAGAAAAAGAGGAAGAACTCCCAAGAAAATTCACAGTGAAATGTTTAGCAGAAGCTTTTGCAGACCTCAACAAGCTCCTTAAAAAGCTTGAAACCATGGACCCCAACACCGAAAGGTTTTAATTAATAGAGAGGAATATTCATGGTGCATTGTCTGTTTACAAGCACATCTATGAGGAATAAAAGAAACAAACCAAGCAAACCACCATGGTCATATTTCTCAAAAGAGTGACACCTCCTCAAGAAGAGCTTGAGGCAGATCTTTCAGGGATATTCCAGGTGAAGACATTGTTATCATAGGAGATGACAGCTCCATGTGTGTTATTGCCGCTGAAGACCTTCCAGCGGGACAAGAGTGGAGGTGGAAGACGGTGATATTGATGATCCTAACTCACTGTAGGCCCAGGCTAATGTGCATGTTTGTGTCTTAGATTTTAAGAAAAAAAGTTTAGAAAGTAAAAAAAGATAAAAATTTTTTTAAATGGAAAAGAGCTTATAGAGTAATAATATAAAGAAAGAAAATATTTTTGTACAGCTGTACAATGTGGATTTTAAGGTAAATGTTATTACAAGAGTTAAAAAGCTTAAAAAATTAAAAAGTTTATAAAGTAAAAATGTTACAGTAAGCTAAAGTTGATTTATTATTGAAGAAAGAAAAAATTTTTAAATAAATTTAATGTAGTCTAAGTGTGCGGTGTTTATACAGTCTGCAGTAGTCTACAGTAATGTCCAAGGCCTTCACATTCACTCCCCACTCACTCACTGACTCACCCAGAGCAATTTCAGTGCTGCAAGCTCCATTCACGGTAAGTGCCCTATACAGGTGTACCATTTTTTATCTTTTAGACTGAATTTTTACTGTATATTTTCTGTCTTTAGATATGTTTAGATACACAAATACTTACCACTGTGTTACAATTGCCTACAATATTCAGTACAGTAACATCCTCTATAGGTTTGTAGCCTAGGGGCACTGGGCTATACCATAAAGCCGAGGTGTGTAGTAGGCTATACCATCTAGGTTTGTGTAAGGATACTCTATGAAGTTCACACAATGATGAAACTGCCTAACAACCCTTTTCTCAGAACTTATCCGTGTCATTAAGTGACACATGACTATATTTCTCATTCAAAATCAAAAGAATAAGCTATGTCCTGGACAAATAAATCTGTACCTTTCAAGTTTAAGCCAATTAATTAGACCTTCTCATATAAGCTCTAATTTGGATAAGAACCCAAAGCTTATAACAAAAGTTTATACCTTTTTATAGACAATTTTTATTGAATGCTTATTCATGTGTCAGGGCCTATTCTAAATACTTCATTTATTCCTAATTTAATAATCACAATCACCCTTTAACATAGTATGTGTATTTCCATTTTACGTATGAGAAAATCCAGGTCTTTGAGTTAAACAGGTTGTCTAATATTTGTAAATAATAGAGCTGGAATTTTAATCCTCAATCGAGAGGCCACATTATTAACCACCATTCTATATTTCCATGGTGTCAAATATTTTTAGAAAAATGCAAAATAAAGGTGACATCTAAATATAAATGGTAGAATTTACAAACTAAATCATCAAGAAGAGACAAATGCCACAAGTATGTACAACAACAATTTGTAGGGATTTCTGGTTCTCACAGAGTCATTCAGTTAGTGTTAAAATATTGCTTAATGATTTGAGTTTCTGATCAGTTTAAATAAGGATTCATTAAAGCATCTATCACATGTTAACAAGAATACTCCTTTATTTTACAGACAAGGGTACAAAACTTATTTTTAAAAAAGTTGTTATCTAACAACCAAAAATATTAAGAGAAACTACATAAATAATTGCTTATTCTTTAAAGTATAGTTTAAAGTTATTAGATTTGGTTCAGAATTTACCCTGATGGGACTGCAAAATTAAGGAGGTGGCTATCGCTAAATTACTATTGACTTGGCATCACATAGAAGATGATGGATTATTTTGCATCCTAGGAAGACAGTCATAACTTGCAGAAGATTGGGTTCTAAATGAGGGCCTCATTACAGCACATATCAACCACTACTACTCATGATTTCCATAGGCAATGTATAGATATAGTAGACATCTTTCATAAATCATTTATAGTTAAATTATTAAGTTCTTTTTGTTGTGAAATGAATTATGC